TGTAGGAGGATAGGAAGAGAATAGTTTTGGATGTATTAGTAGAGAAATTACAGCTTAGCTTAGTAGTGGGACAGCTGAGTAATGGGAGAGAACAAATGGGACAGCCAATTGTGTTAAATACTGCAGGTTTCCCTCCTGCCAGGGAGCAGGCATGATGAATCAGAAAAAGCGATCAGAATCCATATCGAACAGGCTTTCGGATTGCTCGACCAGATACTCGCGAGCGACGAACATCACCACCTGAGGTTGTATCTGCCTGATGAGCAACATGCTGCGGATGGCTTGCTGCTGAGGCATCAGCAGGCTTCCCCTTCACCCGCAAAGAGTAACGGACAGGAATCTTGAATTTGGCAGGAGAGCCTTGCTGAGGCATCGAAAAAGGCTTCGAAGAGAGCTGAACATCGCGACCGCTTCTTGTAACAAAATGCTGTAGTCCAGTCTTCGAAGGCTTAGCCAAGAACTCGGGTGGTGCTGGCAAACATTCCCGTACATGACGTTCCAGGACACGCGAAGTAGGAGGAGACGAGCCATAGTCCACGAGGTAAACCTTCACCCCTTCTTGCCGAAGAACCATCATAAGATTCCAACGTTTCCCAACCTTGTACTTGCGATCCAAATCATGATTCCGGGCGAAAACGATGCTACCAGGAGCCAGAGAAACTGGAGGCTTGGCATGTAACATAGCCCCAGATCGACGTTCAGAGAGAAGGTCTTGAATATTCTCATGAACCTCGGCCCGTTGACGACTATTGTGGGCTTGACGGAGATGAGGAGATCTACCATACATAATTAAGAAAGGTTCCACATGATGAACAGTTGTTGGTGTCGAACGTAATCCCCAGAGAATATCATCGACAATACTCGCAAAAGATTGCCTTGTCCATAAAGGGGAATAGAATGCCCCCTGAAGCTTCTGGAGGAGGGTCTTGTTCAACTGTTCAATAACAGCAACCGGACTGTACGGTAAACTCACTGAATGGACTGCACCAATCTGTTTGATATAGTTGTCAACTTCACCACCGAATTCCGACCCTCGGTCAGTCCTCAAAACTTTGAAGGGCCCCAGGGAACTATTCATACTCTTAAGAGCCTCAGCAATATTCCTTGATGATTTTGAAGACAGCTCTCTGACCTCGGGCCAACTACTAAAAAGACATACAGCAGTAAGGAGTAGTCTATGACCAGTAGGGGTAGAGACAGATAAAACGTCTGCAGCTACTGTATGCCAGGGACTTGGTGGAGCAGCTCGTTGTACACCTTTCTGAGACCAACGCAGCTTGAGTTGTTGTTGATGACAGACCTGGCATGATGCAATGTGCTCACAAACTTTTCGAGCAAGACTTGGAAACCAGCAAAAGGTCTTAATGGCACGGATTGTACGTTGAATACCAGGATGGAATACTGCAGCTTGATTATGGAAATAATTCAATACTGCCGGTTCCAAAGAAGATGGAAGGACCGGTACCAAAACAACATCAGTGATATAACATGGATCATTCGCTGGTAAATGCCGCCAAAGAAGACCATGACGCACCAGCAAAGTATTCCAAACAAGCCTAAATACTGTAGGGATAGAGGTAGGCACCAGCTCTTTATTATCGCTCATGAGTGAGGAAACGGCTTGTTTGATATCACTATCAGCAGACTGGTGATGAGATATCTCAGCCATAGAGGGAAGAGGAGAAATCGACGAGGTATTTACAACAGTCGCAACCAATACCTCACAATGCTGATCCCGTTCGGATAGTTCGTCATTATTGTCAAACCGAGGCTCACTAGTAACAGCAGTAACATCCAGGTCTTTAGTCTTAGCAAACTCAAGGAACCGCTGGAGTAAACCATGTCTTGTTAGATCATCGGCAGGATTTTCCTGTGTTACCACTCGCTCCACAATTATTCTTCGATTGAAGTCCAAGGGGTCGAAGAGTGCATGAGTCATAGCCAAGTACTTCAATAGAATTGGTTTGACATCCTTGTTGCTAAAAGATGCCGGCCTCCCAGCACTAAAAGTCACTTCAACCGCCACATTGTCCACATGATAATACACCTTGTTAAACCGTCTTCTCGCAGCTAGCTCGAGTCTATGTACCATAGCGAAACCTTTATAGAGGATATGAGCCTCCAAGCAGGCTATCGGTAGATGAGATTCAGCAGTGGAGAAAACATGAACACGTTCCAAATAGTTCTGGCCGTCCTGTCTAAGGAGAAAACCACCAGCATACTTAGATGAATCAGTAAAAACGTGTAGTGGTTCATTAAACCGAAACAACCGAGGTATAGTGAACGATGACTGAGGTAACTTAGTAACCATTCGATGCCAATCCAAAATAAGAGTTCGTAAAGCTTCCGAACATGGAGATGACCAAGTCGACTGAGTAGAAAAGCGCTCTTTCGCTACCAAACTTTGAGCGAAATGCTTCAAAGCTGCCACCCAAGCTGGTACTGTAGGGGACTCATCCAAGGTACCCAGAGTACTTAGTAAGACAGAATAGGAACAACCCGAATACGGTACACGAGACTTCAGCACACCCAACTTCTGCGCTGCCATTGTCATATACCTTCCATTGTCGATGTAAGCCACGCCTAGCATGTTTGAATCCATCTCAGTCAAGGCTTGACGTTTGGCAGGCTTAAACTTTAAGTCATGATCTTTGCAAATGGTAGAAAGTTCCCGTTCAACCGTTCCACATGCGAGAAGATCGCCAAATCGTCCATGAAAGAGGCTAGTTCAAAATTTTCATCACCCTTGAAATTATGATGAACCAACCATTGGAGCGTTACTTCGAGTACCCTAGGACAATGAGATGGACCGTAGGGTAAACAGCAGAACTCGTACAAAGTAGGCTCATCAGACAATGGGGTAGTGTTCACAGTGAAGTACTGGCGATTACTGGGAAGAAGCCATAGGTGCATATAAGCATCTTGAACATCGTTCAAAATTACATATGGGTAACATCTCGACTTGTCGATAAGGGTCGAAGTTAGTGCCTGAGAGAAGGGCTGTTTACCAAACGCCAATTTCAGTGATCTATTCAAATGAATAAAAGGAAATACTGGCCTGAACCTGTGGGTGGAATTACCACTCACAACATACCAACTCGTCGTTGACGAGGATGCAGTCAATGTGGTTGGTTGCAGACGACCTTCTGAAATCCATTGTTTAAAGCATTTCTCACCAGCAGTCAAGGCTTCAGGAGTGGCTCGAGAGAGTAGCTTGTGGGGTCGTAGGGCGCCCAGCTGCTCAGCCCTCCGAGGATCCTTCACCAAGGCTGGATTGAAACCAACATAAACTCTCTTACTAGGGCTATCCCCTGAAGAGGGAGTACCCACCCTCTCTGCAGATACGATGTAGAGATTATTGTCGTCGTGAATCACATTACAAGGAACCCAACCTTCGGGTAAGTCACGCCACCGTCTCGCCTTAGAAGTAGAGTCGTCGTCAACCGCACATGTAAGTCCAAGCTTTGATAGACCATGGCGACTTGTCGTGAACGATAAACATATATTAGCATTTGCAAGTGCATCGCGTCCAAGAATAACTGGATGAATCATCCCTAATGCAGAAACATAAAACTTATGAGTAATCAATGTGCCCGCTATAGAAAGAGTAAGAACAGCCGATCCTAGTGTACGGAAGCCCTGCCTCGTGGCCGTGGTACACTGAGGAGTATCCACTGAATTAAGAGATACAGAAACAGGCAGCCTAGCCAAGGTATCGGAATCGATCAAAGAGATACTAGAGCCACTATCAATAAGGGCACGAGTCTGTAGCTTAAATCCTTTGACGACTAAGTTAACAGGCAACGTACACGAGTCCGATATAACTCTGGTCTCATCCAGGGTGTGATTTTTGCAAGTGTCAATTTCCATTCCTGAAATTTCCGAAGGAAATTTCGGAAAAATTTCCACGACCCTGGAATTTCCAGGAAATCTAACAAAAATGGCTATTTACTGATCTCTACGCACGTTTCGTTTATAAAAAAGCTCAATCTGCATTAAGAATAGCTCTCCGCATAGATAGAGTATCGTAGTGATGCTCAGAATTGGTTGTTGTGCGTAAAAGCCCCAACGGCTGGAATCGATCATCAAGGCGAGCGCTTACAAGTCTTCGCATGGCGATTCATGGCAATTCACCTCGCTCCGTCGAGGGCATCTATTTTCTCGCTCGCCTGTAACGCTCGAAAATGCAACTGCAAAGTAATTCATACCATGATAAGTGATACGGAGATATACTTTTGATCCCAAGCATTTCCATGTCGAGTTCATCATCCACTGGACCGCGGCGGTCCGACCGCCACGTTCGTCGTGCGTCATGAGGTGCCACTTGAAACAACTTGAAGCAAGGTGAACTTGAACTAAGTTCAAGTCTTGAAGTTCAACTTGGGGTTACAGTAATCTAGTTACTTGGCAAGTAATACTCGCTAAGCGAGTCTCGCTTCTGTACTACAGCACCTGTACTACAGCGGTGGGAGGCCAAGCTCAGCCCGAGTTTTCACCAGGTAATGTGGTCGGGGGTCGAAGACAGAGCTTCTCCTACGCGACGAGGGAGCCATTAAGAGATAGGCAATATAACAGGAAAGCCTTCAAAGACATGGATAAACCAGACTTCTTCGAGATACTGAACAGAATTCGACCACCCAAAAACGAGGTCTTTCGAGAGCTAAAACCTGTCTCTCACAAAGCTGCTTTGACAGATCGTCAGTCGTGACCGTGATTGATGCACCTACATCCCTTTCGAGTCATGATGACTCGAAAGGGATGTAGGTGCGTCAATCACGGTTTGGAAACCAATGATGACTCAGTCATCATTGGCTTCCGAACTGAACGCGACACGCAATCGACAATGTAACGCATGGACCCACGAAACGAGTCGTTCCGTGGGTCCATGCGTCGCTTCAAACGACTCCCCAACTCGTGATCTTGCTCCTCTTGTACTTCCTCGATCCCGACTGCGCGCTAGCGCAGAAGCCCGGAAGCATCTTGGCGGAAATTTCCTGGAAATTCCGGAAATTTCCACCTTGAAATTTCCAAACACAGAATATCGTGCTTCATTTCCACTCACATCACACCCTGGTCTCATCACCCATTCCAAGAGCAACGGCTTGAGTTTCAGGCCTACATGATGATGGAGCCGCAGCATCATCACGGCCTTCTAGTTTCCCTGCGCAAGTCGGGACTTGAGCGCCAGTGCCTTCTTCTTAGTCTGGCACTGCTCCTCCGTGTGATTCTTCCGCAAACAATAACCACAAGTGACTCCCATCGTACGTGGATAGCTTCCATCTACAGCCTCATCACACTTCTCATATTGCACATCTTGTCGGGGCCGTTTCTGTACCGGACCATAACCTTTATCTCGTTGCTTCTTGAAGCAGTGAGCTTCGAGATGACCCACTTTACCACAATAGTTACATTTACGATCATCTCGACGTAGGGCACTGATGAGTGTTGGGACCCAACTAGGCATACCAGTGGTCTCCCCCTGAGCGGGAGATGTCAAACTAGAAGCAGGCTTCTCTGAAAGCGAGTTCGATATAGCTCCATCAGTAGCATAAACACCATCAAGCTCCGCTTCATAAGTTCCACGCTTGACAGCCATCAACTCACTCTCATGAGACACATCACCATCCTCAAAAGGATCCGACAACAAAAATTGAGCTTTCTCAAGTGCGAGTTGAAGAGTCTTCGGGTTTGCATTCCTAACCTTTCGGGCAAGCGACATCGAATGTCCTCTTAACCCTCGGATAAAAGCAGTAAGAATGATAGGGGCAACTTGGTCAGCGGTCATGTCGGGGTAGGCTCGATACGCTAACCTCTTTATATCATTCTGATATGTGAGTAGAGACTCACTACCAGAATCCAGAGTTCGACGATACAACTGCTCGCTGCTCTGCATCTGGGTAGCAATATTCAACTTGTGGGAGAGATTCTTAACCAGGCTGACCATCGTGTCCTTCTCATTGGGCTTGAGCTCATCATAAACAATCCATGCATCACCTCGGAGTAGTGGTGGTAGGTGCTTCAACTGGTCGTCGTCTTCCCACTTGTTAGCAGTTGCACATGCCTTGAACTTCCGCACCCATTGTTCGAAGTCCAAAGGACTTGTCAGAGGGTCGAAACTCTCAGGTAAGGCAAAATACAGACTCGGGTCCATGAACAAGGAGCTGCTACTCTGGAATATCAACTCAACACGGATGATATCCGTATTATGTAGGAGGATAGGAAGAGAATAGTTTTGGATGTATTAGTAGAGAAATTACAGCTTAGCTTAGTAGTGGGACAGCTGAGTAATGGGAGAGAACAAATGGGACAGCCAATTGTGTTAAATGTGCGACGGGTCTACCACAAGCAAGAAAGTACAATGTTAAGATACAGAGCAAAACGTAAGATATGCTCACTGTGTTGAGGTGCGGAGCTTAAATCAAGAAAGACTAACCGCAAAATAAGCATGGGCGCTCATCCAAGCTTAGTATGCAGCTCCAAGCACATGTTGCAATTATAAACCCAGGGCGTTGGTCCGAGCTAGTAGATGATTCCTTAAACTAAGCTCGTTCCCAGCAATACACCACTTAGTTGTCGGGATGATAAGAACAGCGCTGGAGCTCGTTCAAAAGATGGAACAAACAGTCGAGATAGGTAGATTACTGATCGACCTATCGCTGATTTCCTGATGAATCTGCTATCAATGCTAACATCCCACCGGTGGATGAATTATGGATGATTAAACGGTGTTAAATTAACACAACTCTCGAACAGGTGAGTAAACGGCATGGTTGGCAGAATGCGACGCAATTGACTCAACTAGTCATCATTTATCGAGTCGAGGTTCACCTTTGCAACTCCTCGGAAATCTCATGGATGGCTTAACTGCCTGAGAGAAAAGGAACTACCAAATACACAGTGCCTTCACTCCAGCACCGCTCTCATCTCGTCGCTCTTCCCATTCCGCGGAAATATAGTGGGTTGCTTCATTGCCTGAAAAAAATATCTATCAAATTAACAGTGCTTTCACTCCATCATCACTTTTATCTCCCCATTCTTCGGAACTATCGTGGGATGATTTATTGCCTGAGGGAGAAGAGAATCTCTATCAAATACACAGTTCTTTTACTCGATTCCTACTCTTATCCTCCCACTCTTCCCATTCCTCCGAGACCTCGTTTGCTGATTCGTGGCCTGGTATAGAGGGGATGCAAATCAGTGAAATAATAGTTAGACCGCACTACCACTTTTATCCACCCACTCTTCCCATTCCTCCGAGATCCCGTTGGCTGATTTATGGCCTGGTATAGAGGGGATACAAATCACTGGGATAATACTTACACCGCACTACCATTTTCATCCACCCACTCTTCCCATTCCTCCGGGACCTCGTTGGCTGATTTACGGCCTAGGATAAAGAGAACGCACATCACTGAAACAATCCTCATACCCCACTTGTACTTCTATCCTCCCACTCTTCCCATTCCTCCGATATCTTGTTGGTTGATTGAGGGTCTGGGATGAAGACGGGTGTGGATCGCTGTAATAATGCTTCCACCCCACTTGCGCTTTCATCCTCCCACTCTTCCCATTCCTCCGAGATCTCATGAGTTGATTCATGGCCTGTAATTGAAAGGGACAGATGCAAATAGATCAAACAAATCTTCCACCACACTACCACTCTCATCCTCCCACTCTCTCCGTTCCTCTGAGATCCTATTGGCTGATCCATGGCCTGAGGTAGAGGGGATGGATGCCAGTAACTCGATAATACTCCAGCCCCAGTACAATTATCATCCTTCCACCCTCCCCACTCTTCCGAGATCTCATTGGTTGATTCATGGTCTGAGAGGAAAGGTCCTCTTCAAAAGGAGCGCCGTAAAAGAAAGACGAGCCAGTTTGAGTACCGTTATCTTCTCGCTGCCCCTCTTCAGTTCCGGCTCTACTCACACTACTGCCGTCGATACTCGAACCTGCACAGGTGGAACTCCGGGAAGTCATTCGACGGGACTCCCGTCACGGGAGTCGCACCTCTACTGTCCGTCTGCCTGGGTGTTTGGGATGGAGCCTCGACGACTGAGTCGTACCGTCCAAGGGCGCCAACTTTTTTCCTCGTCGCCGGACCACGCCTCAGCTTTTGAAATTTCTGATTCTCGGGAATATACCTCAACAACAACCCTCCGGGTTCGGCCCGCTGTGAATCACTCAATATTTTGGGATTCAGAGCTCACTTCGTTCGTGAGCCGATCGCCAGCTCGGAGGCGAACGTGTGCCGGCAGCAACCCCAATCCCGCCCCGATTTGCAGCTGCACCACGCTGCTCTCTCCCCTGCTACGGCTGACATGTGGTACTGGAAAAAGGATTCCACTATTTGGTCAACAGTGAGAGACTGTGGATCTGAAATACACATTGTGAAAATAACTCCCCACCGGGAGTCCCAGTCTGGGACAGCCCTGCAGTCGGGGCCTGATAACTTATCAACCCGTTATTACCTTCGCCGTAGTCCGCAATGAGGAGACCTCTAAGATAACGAGTAACTTCGCTTCGCTCCAATTTCGTGGGACTCCCAGTCTTCTCATGACTCGCGAAAACGAAGTAGCGCGTAGACTCCTGACTCTCCCCCTTAATGCGATTCACATCTTCAGTGACCTGATGTATATGAGAAATTCTTTCTATTTTTAATCACAAGCATTAAGGATTCTCAAAGGCGTACATACTTCCATGAAGTGGCGATCCATATATATTCGAGTTCCGGAGGCCTTCATGCTAACGTGGTAGTCGAAGTTGTCAAGGTTATCTGGGCTCTCAACGAAGTTGCCGCGATGGTTAGTTTTAAGAACTTGAAAAACCTATACAGATGCGCACCATTCGTGTTACGCGGAGCGAGACTCGCGCACCAATCTCACACAACAATGATACTCGCCCTACTTTAGGGAGATCCGCTGCGAATTTCGAGATGTTCAGGCGCTCTTGGTTGAAATTGTGAAAAACTGCACGATGCCAGCTTTCTATGATGTTCGTTAGAACCTAATGAGCAGTTTGTACGCAGAACCTTTGATGGTGCTGTCTAACGCCTCACTTGCGTGCCCCTCATCTTAGGGGTTTCCATTGCCACGCAGGGCGATCCGTGCCTTCCGCGGTTCAGAGTGTTCGCCAAGTACTTGGAAGCTCGAGTAGGCTCGCCATTCTCGTCAGTTGCCTCGGTCACCAAGGCCGCCGCTAAGAGGTCGAAGAACCCCGGTGTCGCAGCTGAATGCAAGGCATAAATATGGGCCATGACCTGATACGAAACCGGGATTGTTCGGCTGCAGTACATTTTAAACGCTGTATCGTCATAGAGAACTCACCCGATCGAAGTATTCGCCCAGATCACCGCGGTGATCGCGTACATTTTTGCAAAAATGAAAAAAACAGCGGCCTGACGAACGAAATCCGTATGACTCGCCACGCGGTGATCCTGAGTCTCTCCTTAGTACCGTTAGTTACGCCCCGTCCCAGAATTTTTTGAGCGGCCGCGTTCGCTCCTGGGGCAGCATCATGGAGGAATGCGAGGATGGTGTTCTGTATGTTCTTCCGCTTTCCCGAAATTCGTTCGATCAATGTGTTCAACTGTTGCAGCGCGTGCTCATAGATGCGACTGCTCTCGGAGCTGACGATGGCGCCCATGAAAGGGCAGAAAGAGTGGGAGTATTCTCCGGTCTTTGTCAGTCTGGAAGATAACGACAGACATCGGATGTCTGACATCCGATCCCCCGCAAACCTCTATTTTACTCACCTGATCCTACTCGCCCCCATCCAGAGCATACGGTGCTTGCCCCTCACGATTTTATTTTGACAGTCTGTGTAGAGAACTATGCCGTCGGGGAGATTTTTCAAGAAGTACGCCAGAGACCGGAGCATATCTGAGAGCACCGGGCTGCGGCCAATGGATTCCACACTATGGGATGGCAGAGATCTACCTTAACTCGTGAATTTCCCTATGTGCAAGTATTACCAAGTTAACGTCATCAACACGCTCTCATACGGCACAATTAATGCAACGCTAGCAGTGTTTACCGGTTGAGGTCACGGCTACTGCATGATCACCACTCTCCCACAGACTGTCCAGAAGCACTAGGGAGCTATCCAGAGCTTCGTCATTGACGATACCCTGAACAATCTCATCATTGATCCGGTACTGTTCCAGGGCCGCTTCTAGATCAGCCATGTTATCAATAGGCTTTATGGGACATCCACGGCGGGGCCTTTTGGATACCGACGAGATCAGGGATTGCACCTATAGAAGGCACAATAGGACATCACGTTGCTTGACAGCATCGTCATACTCTTTCTAGAGTGATCTCATCTCGCAACTGGGGATGCTGCTCATGAAGTAGTTTCACAACGCACAGAGGCGCTGTGTTTCTGCCAGCCTCTTCGATAATTTTATAGGTTATATGCTCCGGGAGCCTCCGCCGCTTAAGTTCGCGTTCAACGGAAGCATGTTGACCTAGAAACGCGATATCAAAATCATCTCGCCCGGCAGGTCCTGTTAATAACCACTGACCTTACCGGCTTCGTAGATGACGATTTGGCTGCCCTTGTCTTCCAGTTTGAATTTTTTCCCACAGTTCACGTGCTTGCCGCATCTGTAGACTCTATAGTTGTACTTCTCCTTCGTATACATTTCGAGCGTTGGGAAGTCCTGCTCTAACGCTCTCCTCCCAACGGCATAGCCGTCGGAGCCATCCGCCACCTGGACGTGTCGCAGGAGCTGCCAGTTCAATTTGGGCGGCATGGGCGAGGTTTCTTAAGAGCAGCCCTCACGGCCGCTGAAAGTCAACTGAACGAAAATTTACAACCGCAAAAAGGCTGAGACAAGCTCCGATTACTGCGCAACATCACCGGGGGATCTTTAAAAACAACCGACTACCGGCTCGGTAGTACCTCGGGGTTAGCCAAGGGTATCAAGGGTGACTAAGGGTGAGAAATTCTAACCTTGAATCAGAATATCATCGCTGCTACGTAATCGAACAGAGAATAAAATTGACCGTACAGTAATATCCAAAATCTACGACACTACTACGCAAGTAGTACTAACACGAAACGCGGTATGGTATTACTATGAATAGTATTCATAGTATCCATGGCATTCATTCAATATACTACTCCAAATCAAAGTAAGCGAGTACTCGCAGGACATTGAATCCCATCAGGGGACTTTTGTGGAGAGAAGCCAGTGGAGACTACACTCAGCTCCTTCCGAGATCCACTGCGAGATATTCGATTCCACTATTTTTGTGATATTCCAACGTCAAAAACTTGGCCTTTGCATGCTTGCGAAGGAACTTTTCTGGAATCTTCAACTTCTTCGAGGAATTAGGTGGTACAAGAATAGGCGGTAAGTAGTCCTTATTTATGACTCCTTTAATTTTGATATCATGCCCTATCACATTTATCAGCTCCAAAACGCTGACACTCCCCACGCGCTCCGCGTGGGCCTCAAAAGATATCGCCTTTATACGGGTCTTTGCCTTCACATCAGCGACTTTCTGTTCCTAACAAAATAGCACTTCAACTAGCGACAATCCGAAACGTACGTCTCTCACTTGTGGCCTAGCGTTCTCCCCTACCACTGCTTTAGTAGACTGGTCAGGAACCGGTGTGATAGGTGTAGTCGGACAGACCGAGGAGGTACCCAGACTACCAACAGTGCTAGCCGACACTGGCGATTGGTGAATGGCACGGCTTTTGGACTTTCGACCCGGAGTTGACATAGGCGTTCTCGGTGATGAGGTAGATTCCGCTCCTTTGCTCTCCAATTCCTACACTACGGGCTGATCTCATGGATGATGCATGCGGATTGTCTACTACGTGAACCGGAGGCTTGTTTTGAGTTGCCTTGAGTTTATTAAGTTCCCCCCGAAGATTAGCAATCTGAAAGAAACAACAATCTCCCGTCAAAGATCTTGCCTCACAGGTTATCACACGATGTGATTCACATCTTGTAGAATCGATTACCTCCTTCCGACTCTCCTCTAATGTTCTCAGGAGGCGATCCTCATTCTTTTTCGACCCCGAATCCCAGTCTTCGAGCCGCTGTACCTGAACATACGGACACCAGTTAACCCAAACACTGTATGACGCGCAGTGCCTTGACTTTGAGCTCCTCATTCTCTTCAGTGAGCCGCGTGATAGCCTCAGCCTGAAGAAAACTACCCAATCAAGTCAGCGAGTAGTCGAAGGCCAGTGCTACTTGTCTGGCAGCTTCTCTCTTTCGCTCCTGCCGTCTCTTCTGAGTTTTGTAACTACTTTTGGTTTGAGGAGGATTTGGCATGAGAAGATTCAACACTGTCCGAAAAACGCCCCTTTTCCCACTGCACTCAGCCAAAACGTGCCTCCATTGCCTTCATTGGGACCACCGGCTCGGGTTCGATACCCGCGCATGTTATTTTTCTAGAAATTTTCTTGATGCGTTGTGAGAATCGTCAGCCGGACTCGGTTAGGCCGGGATCGGGGCCAGTATTGATTCCAATACCATCCCCGGACGCGGCCGTCTATGCAATACAACCGGAATCGGTGAGCCAATCGATCACCGGACGCGGTTACTGGGCATTCTGCCGGAATCGGGAGCATTGTTGAAAAGTTCCCGGCCGCGGCTTCCTCACATCGCGTGAGTGACTTGTAACCGGAATCGGCTTGTTATGCTCTCTGTTGCGACCGGAAGCGGTGGAAATGTGTATCACAATCTTTGCCGGACACGGGATGTCCTCCCGTACACGGCACGTCACACTATGTGACTCACATTTAACCGGACTCGGTGATAAAGCCGAACTATGCCGCACTCGGCCAGTGTGCCGGGCGAACTCCGCCCTGATCCGGACCCGGGTGCCTGTGCGGCCAGGCTGTTCCCGAACACGGTATGCAATATATGGCCGGACTCGGCTACCCAGAGAGTAGCCCAGATGAGAGTGGTTGTTGAGTTTTCGAGTGGGGTAAGGTGTGTGTGAGTTTTCGGGGGAAAGGTGAACCAGAACACCTGCAATGAGCTGACTCAGTTTTGGAAATCGTTAATCATTTAGTCTTGGTTCATATGGGTGGGAGGCTCTCGAGTGACCGTTTCGAACTTGTTTTAACTGGAAGTTGTAGTTATGTCAGGACCCCGTCGTAACGGTTGTGAAGCGCCCGACGTGCCGCGTCGGACGTGGAGAGCCTCCACTGGAAACCACTGACTAATTTGAATAAGGTTATATGGGTGACCCATATGATAGGTCCCACAATGGGTCGACGCGAGTCCCTAACAGAAAATCCCGAACCCGACTGCCTGATTGTTGAGTCAATGATATTGAATTTGTAACTCATAGAACTTACGGATTTCCTCTCGATGACGCGTATTCCACATTGTATTTGCGATTCACAGTTCGTGTTTCGAGAATATATTCTAGGCCTACGATGGCGAGCGTGGGTACTTCCTTCGGCATGCCGAGCTCGTTTAGGTACTAGTTAATGAAGGCCGAAGGGATCATCACCGCATGAACAGAATGAGCGTTGCGGGCTCACTAGAACCAATATGAGGGCTCGCTGCAACCAGCGTTGAAACTAGACCACCCACTAAGAAAACCCATGGGGCGGCCTACGGCCGCCTCTTACTCTCACCGAGTGGAGCTCACCCGACTAATGTTCAACATGTGTCGTCTCACTGGGTGGGAAGAAGCAGTTGCTGATTTCAGTTCGAACAGAAGGCACGTTAGATCCGCAGGTTGAAAGGCAGTGAACATGCAAATATACATATCACACATACGTTAGCCTGCAATCCACACGTGGATTGTCACGGGGCTCAACTAGAGCTACAAATGGCTACTCGAGAAATAAGCAAAGTATTGACGAGGCCTATTGTAGAGATTGGCAATTGTCTTGCACTTTGCAAGAAATCGGCCAAGACGTTCAGTCGATGCACACAATGACTTTGTCACATTTACTGGAATATATGGGTAAAGCGGCCCAGACCAGTGGTGCATTGCTGCTCCAAATGGAACGAGGCCAAATTTTTGTTAGGCCAAATTACATGGGATGGTCGTACATGTATCGTGCACGCATGAGTGCGTACGCACGTGTCGATTGTGTGCTTGGCGCTGTGCTGCAAAACAAAGAGGTAAAAAGGTGTAGTTTTGCACACCCTCTCGTTGCAGAGGTGATTTCACTGCCGCGTCGTTCCGCTAAGCTCTCAAGTGTATAATACACGCCGCGCGTTGCACTCACAGCAGAAGATGAATTGTTTGCTATGACTGAGTTTGCGCTTGGTCATGCATAGCGCATTCCGAGCTACAGAAAGTTGCATATGTTGCGTGGTGAAGATGCAATAAGATCAAGGACTAACAATCTAGTATTTCTATAAGGTGTGCTCCCGAAGGCGATAAGAGAGAGTACTTTACAATTATTAGCAGAAAAATCACAGCTTAGCTCAGTAGTGGGAGAGCTGGGACAGCACAAATGGGACAGGCAATTGTGTTGAGTATCGCACAAGTACCGATACTCCGAGAAGTGCTATGAGCGATCGTTGAACGAGGACTTAAGTTTTCAAAAGACATTGACAGCTTTTTATCAAGCTTCTTAAAAAGACATTGTAAACTGTGTCGAACACTGTGTGTCCGCCTTGGGCATTGCACCAGCCAACTAAACCTGCCCAAGAAGTTCTTGGGAAGAATCCGTTTGGTGACATATAACACGTTACTACATCACACGGTAGGTATATCAGAGTAAGCCCATAGCAGACCGGCAACAATATCCAGATCCCTCAGCGTGTCACAAAATTTGCACGCATGTACGCCGGTATATTCGCGTGCACTGTTAATTGCGGTAGGTTGAGCCGTATTCATTGTCCGGCACAGTTTATGGTGAATGTGGGTAAGAAGCTGTTTCAGACTTAGTATTTAGTGTATAATCTGTACTCAGATGGTATTTTCCTTGAAGACTGGTTCTTTGTTGTGTTGAGAGATGTCCCAACTATATAGTAGATTGGATGTGTCCGGCCTATTGGTACAGAGACTGTATTACAGTCCCGGTTTGAATAAGGTTCGAGTCGCGCACTGCATCGCAAGGTGTGGTACGACAATAGCTAGCTCTGGAAAGGATGATATCTTTTTTATGGTCGGTTCCGTGCGTAGCCAGAATGAGTCATTCTGAATGACAGCGGTGTCACAACCTGAGTTGATTGTGCAAATACGGTTCCATACCTTGGAATTAAAAGTGTCAACTGAGCAGTACCGATTCAGGCAATATACTGAAGATGCACATTATTACTGTAATAATATTACTGCCATAACATTGCACGTTCTCAGGTCGACTAACTCAATTCACAGTATGTTGCTAAGACTTGCAATATATTGCTGTTGATTACTAGATTACCGGACCGATAGCTCAAGCTGGTCAAGCGAGTTACGGTTGCCGGTAACATGTGATCATATGCAGTAATGAGTATATATGCGATTGCATTAATTAAATACCAAGAACGATACCCTACTGCATGGATAGATCAGGTAATCACCGACCTCTACTGTACACGCCTTCTCTTGGGGGGCTCACAACGGGGGCAATACCACTTAGCCTTCTCATCATCAGTATTAGGTGCTGCTGTCCCCGAAGCCCGCGCCCACGCTTCCGCACAGTCGACATGCCACCAGCGCGCCCAGCCAGAGCCCGAACCACATCGCCTACTTGAGCAACGTACGGACATTGTATCGAAGATACCGCCACAGCATCCAGCGACTTCGGTTTGGGGTGGCTGTGCATTGGAGGATTCACTGGTAGGCGTAGGGTGTGTTGGCCAGTCGAACTCGTCCAGTCCTCGCCGACGTACTTGTGCTTGCTCAGCTCTGCGTTGTTCGCCCCTTCGACAGCCCACACCGTATCGAGTCTCTGATGGAAGCTCATGACACAAATGACCATTCTCGTCTCTTCTCGATGTATGTTCCATACGAGCATTTAGCCGCTGCCATGTATCATCACTTGCCTCACTCAGGTGACGATGGAGGCTTATAATGTGCATACATTTTCCGGCGCGGATATAATCTAGACAGGTACATGAGGGACCACCGTTGAGGACTCCGCAAGAAGGTTCTGAACTCGCCTCGTAAGAGACAAGGTGCAAGCTTGAGATTAGCGACCTCGCATCAGCCAAAGAAGAGAATGCTCCAGACACGCGGCGAGTAACTCGGGGGTCTCGGGATACCATGTCGACGGCAGCGTTATTGTCGGATAAAGATGGGTAGGAATCCGGGCACACGAAAACATAATGATGCTTCTTAGGCCCCAGATAGTGGCTCACTCTGCGGCAAGTATCACCTCCTGTACAGTTCTCCTCTGCGCATCCGCGGAAATCACCAGGTAAACATCCCCATTCCGGGCATGTTGGTAGATTACGGCTCAGTTTAGCGAAAGGACCACACTTGAGAGATGCTCTCTTATCATCTTCAGTGATAACACGGCTACTCGCCTGAGTCTTGTTATGAGAGGAAATCCGCACCCAGTCGGCCGTTTTCAGAGCCCAAATTAACTGGAGCAAGGTGAGTGTACACTTGCGTCTCAGCATTGTATCTTTTAGAACCCTATGGAAGCTCTCTAGCCCATTGGTCGTTCTTCCCCCTAAGTGGTCAGAGAAGCAGTATCCCCATCGCGATCGAAAGCACTCATCATTCAGCCAACCGCCCGCATCCATGGCCTCAAGAAGATGTTTGGCAGTCGCATCGTTCTTCGCCTGCCATTCTGTCTGGAGCAGCCATCTCAGAATGCGGAACTCCCGGTGAGTGTGCCCCAGTGCAACCAAGCGAAAGTCCGACTTTATTGCTCTCCAAACAGAGCCTGGCATATCCTCTTTCTTCTTTTTGAGGCACTGCATGAAGTGGAAGTAACAACACTGCAGAGCCACAGCTGCTTCCCTCATGTAGACCCGTGCAGTTGCGGCCCTGAGTGCCATTGAGCCATCCTGCATTATGTGAGTTATGAGAGGAGGTTGTAAGCCCATATCACGTACCAGGGCCTGCAGTTGCTCTAATCCGGCAGTGACACTACTCTCTCCTTCAGATAATATTAGTGATATCATAATGGGCTTTGAGACTCCTCCAGGAAGCATGCTGGCCACCGACAGCACCGTACACCGGCCTGCCAAGAGATTGAACGTGCAATCCAGGCCGATGCGGGATGCCAGAATATAGTTGCTGAGCATCAGGGGGCTGGTGAAACTCACTGCAAGCTCTGCAAGTTTGCCAGTACCGTCGATAGTCCTCACGAGTGGTTCGCTCGTTGGAACGCAGAGATTCTCCATATCCCTCAGCGCAGAAT